CGTCGCCTATGGCGTGCCTATATTTATTTATTTTTGCCCATTCGACGGGGGTTCGCTCCGTCGCTGTGGAAACGCGGCGCGCCCGGCGATTGGCCTCACGCCCGCGGTTACCAAATGCGCAGAACCGTTGAGGGGTTTCACTGCCGTTCTGATTTAAAAAAAAAACTTTTCAGTACATCATCACCCCTGTCCGCACAGGAGCCCACGCCATTCTAAGCGTCCCCCGCAACGCTATTGCACAGTCACGCCAACGCGCGCGGCGCTCGAGTGGAAAGGGGACGGACGGACGGACGGATTTTTTGCCTCTGCGCCGGCGCACCGCGCGCGCCCACCACTTAATTTGCAAAAGCGCCAAATTGATGCCCCCCCCCCCTCTCCTCCCCCCATGGCCCCCGCATGCCCCCCATCGTGTGAATAAAAGAACCCCAACAACCCCGATGCTACGATTTGTCAAGTTGGTTGTTGAGATAGGTCACGTGACCCGCTGACCAAGTATATAAACAAATTACTCGGCCACCCTTGCCGCTGCTGCGTTGCCAGTTTGTGCACGAGCACAAACAACAGCAGCAGCAACAACAACAACAACAACTCAACCGTCGCATCCGGGTTATTTTCCCACTGTGCACACCGAGCCGTGCCACTTACGTCACGAGCAAAGATTGAGTCACCAAGCCACCGCCACTGGCCCTGCTTGGCCCCGAGCCCGAGTCAGACGTCTTCTGGTGAGGGCAGGAGCCTCCCTCGCCTGCTACGACGCAGGAGGTCGTGGGCTATACCTAGACCCTGGAAACCTGCTGCTGTATATTTGGAGTTTGCGTGTACGTCTCTGCCCGTGGTCGCGTGGATTTTTCTCCGGGTCCTCCGGTTTTTCCCCTCCACATTTAGAATCAACATCACGCGCTCAGAGCATTCGACTGCTGTACATTGCCACGTGATGATGATGATAAGCCCACTTCATCGAGCTATCATGTCGTGGCCAGGTCGCTTCTGAAAAAGCACTACACAGCGTAGTCGGGCTTTACCTGGTAAATAAAAACAAATAATTTGCTAAAAAAAAAAATGAACAGCTTAGCTATAGCGTAGCTTCGCATCACCGTTTGGTTCGGCCTTGGCACGGTGGCAAATAGTCGGTGGGGAAAATAAATAAATAAAACCTACCGTGCCGTTTGGGAGCCGTGCTGGCTCAGCTCGCGTGTGTCAGTGAGGGGCTTTAAGGGGCATTATCTCGCCGTGGGACGGCTGGGCCAAACCAGAGGCAAAAAAAATCCAAACCCACCCCCACCCCCCATGGCTTCATCACCTCGCGGCACATCACCCGCCACGCCTACATCGACCACCATCGACAACAAAAGCAACAACGAAGCGAAATCAAAGTGATATTTACAGCCGACGTGAGCCGGAATAATCACGTGAGCAATAATTAACTAATAATAATGACGACGACGATGATGAGCGCGATCATTTCAGTAGTGATTGCAGCGTTACCACGCATCGGCAGGACTCGTCGTGATCGCACTTTGAAGTGACGGCGAACACCGCGCGTGTGTGTACAGAGAGCGGTGGCGCAGTGGTTAGCGCACTAACAGCTTGGACCCGGCGACCCGAGTTTAATTACCAACCCCCATCGCCCCTAGGTCGACTCAGCCTTAAATGCGTAACTGGTGCGGTGTGTAAAAGACATCAGCGCTGTGGAGATAAAGGCGGCCGGGCGTGGTGCTGGCCACCCACCCCCTCGTGTGCCGTGCCGGCCTTCATTAGGTGCTACTCGCTAACAGCCCTTGCCCCAAAAGTGTGTTAAGGCTATACGGGTAATATTTGCCTTTGTACTGTTTGTGTTTTGCTTGGCAGGAGGGGCCTCAGCCCATCATTCCTCTGGGCTCCATAAAATGAATACCACCTTGTGAGAAATAAACAGCCGTTGTGCCACATTTATATTCATACTGGTCCTCGCCATAGGAACGTGGATTCTCCCACCACCGGATCGCCAACGAAGATACGCACCACCCAAGATGCACGCCGCCGGCCTCCCCCCGCTCCAAATGTCCACGTGATAGGGCCCCCTTTGTAATTTGTGGCCAGGTCGCTTCTGAAAAATAAGTTAATCCCTCAGTGGACTTTGCCCGGTAAGAAAATGGGTTTTTGTTTCATCTGTAGATCTTTCGTAAGTGATTTGACAACCTTTCCTATACTTTGGCACTCAAGTCGGTGTTTTTTTGTGTTTGTCATTGTAACGTTCTGACCCCGTGCCCCCTGACTGGACATCTGTGAGAAAGAAAAAAAAGTGAAGAGCTTTATAGCTCATCGGATTCCTCCCGCAGCATAAATAAACATCCTGACTCTGATGATACGAATGGGGAATTGGTCCAGCGTGGCAATGTCGGAAATCCTCCACGTTAACGGGTGCCGAGACCCGACGAGGCCTTCCCCGCGCCACCCAAAACGACATCCGTCGGCGTCGTTGTCTTCGCAGAAAATAAGTTAGGCGATGATTTAATCGCGCAGGGAAATGTGTGTGGGGCTTAATTTTTTTTTTAAACGACTAAAATCGAGCGCCCGCGCGTGGCGGTGTTTCGCCGGCGCTTAGTCCCTGCGCGCAAGGCGCTGTTCCACATCCGCTTCGCAACGCCCCTCCAGTGCAACAAAATAAAATAAAAACCCATCCCAAAGCAGAGCGTCGCGAACCGACGTTCACACGCCGCAGCGCCGACCACGGACTTGTTCCTCCCTCCCGTCGTTTCTGTTTTCTCGTCTTCATTCTTCCACTCGTTTCCCACCACACAACCGAGCCGTGCGCCGCCGGGGCCATCACCGGGCCAGCGGCGGCGCTCCTCGGACGAGGCCGTACGATTAAACGGAACGAGAGTTGACGCACACACAAAAAAATGCTTTCACAAAAAAAAAAACTAAAACCGCGTCGATGTGTAACGGCTTCTCCGGCCGTCTGACGACCACGGTTGGCTACGCACGGTGCGAAAGAAGTTCAACATACAGTACATACACACATCGGTCCGGGACCGTCCGCTAGGTCGACGCAGCCTCAAATGAGTACCTGGTGCGGTGCGGAGTAAACATCGCTGCTAGGGAGGCAAAGGCAGCCGGGCGTGTGTGCTAACCACCCATCCCCTCGTGTGGCGTGCTGGCCTCCATAGGTGCTACTCGCTAACAGCACTTGCCCCAACAGTCTGTTACAGGCTATACAGGGGCGGGGTTCTTTATCTTTGCTATATGTGTGTGTGTATTGTTTAAGCGAAGTTTTATTTTGCCGAAAAACTATCTCGTTCTGCCACTGCGAGATTTTTTTTCTCCCTCTGGAATTCTGGCAGGCGCGTCCGCTCCCCCCCCTTCAACCCCCCCCCAGCCCCGCCCCCCACACACACCGCCGTCCCGATCGATCGATAAATCCCGATCGATCGACAGATTCCCATTGCACGAGAAGCGACGGAGCTCGCCATCGTCGCTAATAAATTACCCAGGCGCACGTGTGCCCTCCGCACCGCCACCCCCACTACCCCCACTACCCCCACTACCACCACCACCGCCGCCACCACCACCACCACCACCGCCGCCGCCACCACCACCACCACCGCCACCACCACCACCACCGCCACCACCACCACCATCACCACCATCACCACCGCCACCACCACCACCATCACCACCGCCACCACCACCATCACCACCACCACCACCGCCACCACCACCACCATCACCACCATCACCACCGCCACCACCACCACCACCACCACCATCATCACCACCATCACCACCGCCACCACCACCACCACCACCACCGCCATCACCACCACCGCCGCCACCACCGCCACCACCACCACCACCACCCCCCCCAAGTCGCACTCCCCTAGCCGCGATAACGGAGGCGAACACCCACGGAAGCGAATTCCCCATCGCGATGAAACCCGCCGCTGGATGTTTTGCGTCTGTCACTTGTCGTCACTTCTTCTTTTTTTAAAAATCTTTTTACTGAATAGAAACCTAACTAAAAATGACTCAACAACTAAAAACTAAATTCCCACCAGGCATCCCAACTTATATTACTGTGTATATATATTTTTTTTCAATACATATTTTAGTGAAAAGAAATAAAATTTAATTTCGATTTTTTTTTTTACTTTAACTCCGATCGATCACCCACATTTTTGGCGCCGCTGTCTACATCGCGGCCCCCCCCCCCCCGGCCCCCCCCCACGGCCCCCTCACCCCCCCCCCCCCGCCCCCCCCTCCCCCCCATTGGGCTCCTTCCACAAACCAGGTGGCAGCCAATGTGGGATCCGACGCAGCCACCAACAAACGAGAGAGAGAGAGGCCCCCCTCGCCCCCCCCCCACCCCACTTCATCCATCCCTGCGGCGAGCGCGACAGCAAAACGTCACTCGGCCACGCGGCGAGAGCTCGGGAGTCGTCGGCCGAGCCGCTGGCCCCGGCTGACTCCTGGCCCGTGGGAACGCAGCATCAGACGACTGCAGCCAGGGAGAGCGGTGCGATTAATGGGGGGGGGGGGGGGGGGGGGGGGGGGGGGGGGGGCACAGATAAAAAGACAGGTATGGAGAGATCTAGACGTGACCCCCCCCTGCCCCCGGCAGAGTTGCCACCTCGCCCTCGTGGTTTTTTGTCGTCTTCTTCACCGGGACGGTGCGGTGCCCTCTCCCCGACGCAGCCTTTCGTAAGAAACCTGCGAGCTGTCGCGAGCCTGCGCGGTCGCGACGACGGTGCAGCCGGTCACCCCTCTCTCGGCCTCGGGAGATAGTTCTCCGCCTTCCCTCCCGACACGCCGGGAGCCCCGTTGGGCCAACCTCCCTTTGGCCAACTCTCCAACGTCGCGGTGACGTCGCCACGCCGCCCGGCAAAACAAAAATCCCCGGGGGAGGAGCGCCGTCGGCACGGCTATCTTCGCCGTGCCGCGGCCGCCGCGGCCTTCGCCGCAGCGCCGCCGCCGCCTCCTTCTTTCCCCCCTCCTCCACCTCCTCCACCTCCTCTCCCCCCTCCTCCTCCTCCTCCTCCTTTCCTTCCTCGGTCCTTGCCCGCGCCTCGCGGCGCCGCCACGGCCGCGGGCGGCTCGGGCAGGACGACGGCGTCGACGCCGAGCTTCGCCGCGCACGCCCGCACCGCGTCCAGCACGAGAAGCAGGCGGCGGTCGAGCGCCCGCAGGTGAGCCTCGATCAGGATGGGCGCCAGCGGTTCGCGGGACAGGGACTCGCGCATGGCGGCGCTCAGACGGTACCGGGGCTCCGTGAGCAGCTGCAGGCGCTGGTAGGTGGACTTGCGGATGCTGGAGGACGCGCGATTTGGGGGGTGGTGGCGGCGGTGGTGATGGTGGCGGCGGCGGGGAGGGAGAGGAGAAGTAAAACGCAGTTAATATGCGGGATAGCGAAATGGGTAAAGGCGCAGCCCCTGCAAGTGCTCGCTCACGCCACTTTTGGCGGAAGGGCCTCCGCTGCTAGAGGAAGCTCTGCAAAGCCCCCCTCTCTCTCTCCACAAGATAATTTGGACCACTCTTCCAGATCTTAATCATGGTAAATCGTGGTAAATCATCATGCTCATGGCGAACCGTTGTGAATATTACCAGCAGCACTGCTGCAGAGGCACCAGGATGGTCATCTCATCGTGAGAGTGTTTCCCGAACCTGCAGAACAAGACAAGTTCCATCACGTGCCTGGTCAAGGTCGACACGACAACGCATTTGAGAGAGTGACTGGGTTGGTGGATGTGTGGGTGAGTGGGTGACTTCGTGGGCGGGTCAGTGAGTGAGCAGGTGGGTGAGTGGGTTCATGGGTGAGTGAGGGAATGATTAAATTAATGAGTGGGTGGGTGGGTGGATGTGTGGGTGAGCTAGTGGGCGGATCAGTGAGTGAGTGAGCAGGTGCGTGAGTGAGTTCATGGGTGAGTGAGGAAATGAGTCAATGATTGAGTGGGTGGGTGGATGTGTGGGTGAGCTAGTGGGCGCGTCAGTGAGTGAGTGGGTTGGTGAGTGAGTCAATGGGTGAGTGAATGAGTGGGTGGATGAATGGATGAGTGAGTGGATCGTTGGTTAGGAATCTGGTCCTAGGGCCATTGCCCCAGAGATAGTTTATCAGTACGCCTTAGGGTGGCAAATGCTAACACATATTTTCACGAAGCGTTTCATCTCTGGATCACAAAAGCCTACGATAGCAATATGACTGTGGGAGCTGTCTATGAAACAATTGTAATTAAATAAGGGTGTTGCAGTATGTGCGATAAAGAATATTGTTTTGCCAAAACAGTGTCTATATGACAGACAGTATTCACACGAAGTGTTCTGCCCATTGTGCCCTTAGTGGTAGCGTATTCCACCCCAGGTGATACCCACGAATTAATCAGTCCCCTTGGCTCAAGGGCTAAGCAGGTGACGAATGGAGTGAGTGAACAACTTCACTGAGTAGACAACTTCATTGGGTGAGTGGATGATTTCATTGAGTGAGTGAATGACTCGAGTGAGCGAGTGGTCGACTCGAGTGAGCGAGTGGTCGACTCGAGTGAGTGAGTAGACAACCCGAGTGAGTGAGTGGTCGACTCGAGTGAGTGAGTGGTCGACTCGAGTGAGTGAGTAGTCGACTCGAGTGAGTGAGTGAGTGAGTGGTCGACTCGAGTGAGCGAGTGGTCGACTCGAGTGAGCAAGTGGTCGACTCGAGTGAGCAAGTGGTCGACTCGAGTGAGCAAGTGGTCGACTCGAGTGAGTGAGTGGTCGACTCGAGTGAGTGAGTGGGTAGTCAACTCGAGTGAGTGAGTAGTCGACTCGAGTGAGTGAGTGGTCGACTCGAGTGAGTGAGCGAGTGGTCAACTCGTGTGAGCGAGCAGTCGACCCGAGTGAGCGGTCAACTCGAGTGAGTGAGTAGTCGACTCGAGTGAGTGAGTGGTCGACTCGAGTGAACGGTCGACTCGGGTGGGTGGGAGGAGGGGGGGTGGGTGAGCGAATCCAGGCGCCGCTGACCCGCGCCCGTTGTCCAGGTGGATGATGAACGTCTCGTTGCCGAACTTCTCGAACGTCTCGTAGTGATGCCGGTCCATGTTGCCTGCAAAGTCACGGACGCGACCGCCGCCGGTGAGAGACAGGCGGCCCCCGGCCTGGGCCTCAACGGAGGTCGCGCGACGGCGAATCGGGGCCGGGGCGACGCAGCGGCGCGTCGCCCGCGGACGCTCGGCTCACCCATGAGGAAGTCGAACACCGTCATGTCCATGACGTCCAGGAGCCGCGTGCCGGAGTTGTACGGCGCCGTCTTCCGCACCTCGCTGCAGTAGTTGGGGTCGATCTCCCAGCTGGTACGGGGGGGGGGGGGGGGGGTGGCAAGGAGAGAGGGGGTGGCGAGGAGAGGGTAAAGGTTCCCGTCTAGGTTTCGCAGGGCGTCGGGACACGTTCCTCTAGCAGCGGAGGCCCTTCCGCGGTGGGGTGGACAACGCCGCGCCCGCCCGGCCGCCTTTGTCTCCCCGGAATATTTGCGCGCACCGCACCGTTAAAGGATGCTCCCTGCGGCCCGTAACGGACTGTTGGGGCAAGCGCTGTTAGCGAGCAGCACCTGTGCAGGCCGGCGCTGTGGCACACGAGGGGGTGGGTGGCCGTGTATGTACTGCGTGTCGAACTTCTTTCGCACCGTACGTAGCCAACCGTGCTAATCGGTGGTACGATGAGCACGGCTGGCCGGCCGCCTTTGTCTCCCCAGCGGCGACGTTAAAACACCGCACCGGCGACTCACACGAGGCCGAGTCGGCCAAGGGGGAGGCCCACGACCTGCTCAGATATGCGACACCGGCATCGACCACGAGCGGGTTTGTGGCGGTAGCGCGCACCACTGGCACCGCCACCACCACTGTTACCACTACCACCGCCGATACCACCACCACCGCCGATACCACCACCACCACCGCCGCTGATACCATCACAACCACCACCACCACCGCCGCCACCACCGCCGCCCCCGCCCTCGCCACCACCGCCATCACCGCCACCACCGCCCTCGCCACCGCCACCACCGCCACCGCCACCGCCACCGCCACCGCCGCCGCCGCCACCACCACCACCACGACCGCCACCACCGCCACCGCCACCATCACCATCACCACCACCACCACCACCATCACCGCCACCACCACCACCGCCACCGCCACCGCCACCACCACCGCCACCGCCACCGCCACCATCACCGCCACCACCACCATCACCACCACCACCATCACCGCCACCACCACCACCACCACCGCCACCACCACCAGCGCCGCCGCCTCGAACCCCGTGACCGGACTGGGGTGCTCACTTGGCCTTGCGCCGCTTGTGGTAGGAGCGGCGCCACGGGTTGCGCCAGGAGGTGCGTGGCGCGATCTCCGTGTCCGGCAGGAAGGCGGCGAGGGATCCCTCCAGCTGGTCGGGCCGCCCGCACAGCGCGTGCTCCGTCGTGCAGTAGTACGAGCAGTCGCCGTAGAAGCACACGTTGTTCGCTGCTCACGCACGCACGCACGCGGGCCGATGTTACAGAATGATGGGCAGACTCACGGATTGATGGATGGGTGGACAGGCAAACTGATGGATGGGTGGACAGACTAACTGATGGATGGGTGGACAGGCGAACTGATGGATGGGTGGACAGACTAACTGATGGATGGGTGGACAGGCTAACTGATGGATGGGTGGACAGACTAACTGATGGATGGGTGGACAGACTAACTAATGGATGGATGGACAGGCTAACTGATGGATGGGTGGACAGACTAACTGATGGATGGATGGACAGGCTAACTGATGGATGGGTGGACAGACTAACTGATGGATAGGTGGACAGGCGAACTGATGGATGGGTGGACAGACTAACTGATGGATGGGTGGACAGGCGAACTGATGGATGGGTTGACAGACTAACTGATGGATGGATGGACAGGCGAACTGATGGATGGATGGACAGGCGAACTGATGGATGGATGGACAGGCTAACTGATGGATGGGTGGACAGACTAACTGATGGATGGGTGGACAGACTAACTGATGGATGGGTGGACAGGCTAACTGATGGATGGGTGGACAGACTAACTGATGGATGGGTGGACAGGCTAACTGATGGATGGGTGGACAGACTAACTGATGGATGGGTGGACAGGCGAACTGATGGATGGGTGGACAGGCGAACTGATGGATGGGTGGACAGGCGAACTGATGGATGGGTGGACAGGCGAACTGATGGATGGGTGGACAGGCTAACTGATGGATGGGTGGACAGACTAACTGATGGATGGGTGGACAGGCTAACTGATGGATGGGTGCACAGACTAACTGATGGATGGGTGGACAGACTAACTGATGGATGGGTGGACAGGCTAACTGATGGATGGGTGGACAGACTAACTGATGGATGGGTGGACAGGCTAACTGATGGATGGGTGGACAGACTAACTGATGGATGGGTGGACAGGCGAACTGATGGATGGGTGGACAGGCGAACTGATGGATGGGTGGACAGGCGAACTGATGGATGGGTGGACAGGCGAACTGATGGATGGGTGGACAGGCTAACTGATGGATGGGTGGACAGACTAACTGATGGATGGGTGGACAGGCTAACTGATGGATGGGTGCACAGACTAACTGATGGATGGGTGGACAGACTAACTGATGGATGGGTGGACAGACTAACTGATGGATGGGTGGACAGAATAACTGATGGATGGGTGGACAGGCGAACTGACGGATGGGTGGACAGGCTAACTGACGGATGGGTGGACAGGCTAACTGACGGATGGGTGGACAGGCTAACTGACGGATGGGTGGACAGATTAACTGACGGATGTGTGGACAGACTAACTGCCGGATGGGTGGACAGACTAACTGATGGATAGGTGGACAGACTAACTGATGGATGGGTGGACAGACTAACTGATGGATGGGTGGACAGACTAACTGATGGATGGGTGGACAGACTAACTGATGGATGGGTGGACAGGCTAACTGATGGATGGGTGGACAGACTAACTGATGAATGGGTTGACAGACTAACTGATGGATGGGTGGACAGACTAACTGATGGATGGATGAACAGGCTAACTGATGGATGGGTGGACAGACTAACTGATGGATGGATGGACAGGCTAACTGATGGATGGGTGGACAGACTAACTGATGGATAGGTGGACAGGCGAACTGATGGATGGGTGGACAGACTAACTGATGGATGGGTGGACAGGCTAACTGATGGATGGGTTGACAGACTAACTGATGGATGGATGGACAGGCGAACTGATGGATGGATGGACAGGCTAACTGATGGATGGGTGGACAGACTAACTGACGGATGGGTGGACAGATTAACTAACGGATGCGTGGACAGACTAACTGCCGGATGGGTGGACAGACTTACTGATGGATAGGTGGACAGACTAACTGATGGATGGGTGGACAGACTAACTGATGGATGGGTGGACAGACTAACTGATGGATGGGTGGACAGACTAACTGATGGATGGGTGGACAGACTAACTGATGGATGGGTGGACAGACTAACTGATGGATGGGTGGACAGGCTAACTGATGGATGGGTGGACAGACTAACTGATGAATGGGTGGACAGACTAACTGATGGATGGGTGGACAGACTAACTGATGGATGGATGGACAGGCTAACTGATGGATGGGTGGACAGACTAACTGATGGATGGGTGGACAGACTAACTGACGGATGTGTGGACAGACTAACTGATGAATGGGTGGACAGACTAACTAATGGATGGGTGGACTGGCTAACGGACGGATGGGTGGACAGGCTAACGGATGGATGGGTGGACGGACGGACGGACGGACGAATGGATGGACAAATAGATGGAGGGATGAGTGGACAAAGCAACGGACAAGACAGAAGCTGTGGAAAAATGGACAGACCAAGAAGCGGACGGATGGATTCGAAGACGGATGGACGAGTGGACGGACGAGTGGAGGGACGAGTAGACGGACGGATGGTCGTACTGACGGACGCAGGGAGGGATGGACAATCCGAATGGGACAGACGTACAGATGTATGGACAAACCAAGACACCAACAGATCGACGGATGGGTGTGCGAACCAACGGATGGTCGGACAGATGGAGCGAGATACAGAGTGGATGGACAAACCCAACGGACGGACCGGATGAACAATTCAGCTCTGGGTCCCCCCCCCCCCCAACCCCCCCCCCCACCCCCCCACCACCTCACCGGGCGAGATGAAGAACGTCTTGACGAGCTTGCTGTCGTTGGTGATGTCGCGGATCTCGCGCGTCATGTTCACGAGGCGCCCCACCACGGGCGGCACACGGCGGAAGTCGAGCACGCGGTCCAGGTGGAAGGCGGCGATCTCCGCGTTGTGCCGCTCAAAGTCGGAGAAGTAGAAGAAGTCGGGCGGCGTCTCCTGGTCCCTCCGCTGCCTGCGGGTAGACGACGGAGCGACAGCTGGAGCGCTCGTACTCAAGCAATGACAGTTTGTTTTTGTCGTCTCGTTAATTTGGTTGTACATGCGCAGTCCGCTGTCCCGTAGCGCGTGTTTTCGTAACGCGATGAACGTATCGGGGGGAGCGGGGTTTTTTTATTTTTTTATTTTTTTTTAAGCGGAACGCCAATTGGGATGTAGCGCGACCCGAGCGAACGGAACTGCGTCGCGCGGGCGAGGAGCAAAGCGGTCTCGTGCGGCTGCCTCGTCGGAGCGTCGTCGCACAGGGCAGCGGGATACTGCTGGATGCTTCTAGATCGCTACCCACGCGCGCCGTCTTTGTCGGGCCTGCGGACGCGTGTCACCGCGGACTCTGATTTACCCCCCCTATATTGTATACTATTTATTATAACGACATTTTAACATAATGCGATTTCTTCAAGAATGCAACTACCACATTGTAGGAAAACAGGCTGTGTATATATAAATAAAAGTGACTTCCTGAGCAGTTTGGGTTGTGCTCGTCTGCTGTATACAGCCCTGCTGAGCCAGCAGTGGAAATTCCACATTCCCAATGGCGAGGACGTGTCGATCCGCAGGATAAATTTTTTTAAAAAGTGGTGTACCCGTTTTATCGACCCCGGAGGGGTGATGGGCCGAGTCCATACCTCCCCCAACCAGGAGTTGAATTCGCGACGTTCGGATTGCGAGCCGCTCGCGCTACCCGCCTGTCGGTAAAGGCGCAGCCCTGCAATTGCCGGCCCGCGCCACCCGTCGACGGAAAGAGTTTGCCACCGACATCTCAGCTCGAACCAGGCTCTACCCTACCACCGGTGGCTATGGCCACCGGTGGTACATGCCACACCCAGACGGGGGTTTGTTGTCATTCGTTATGTGGTGGCTAGGAGATGTGAACTACCTCGCCAGGTATACAGGAGGTCGTGGGTTCGATTCCGACCCTGACGCCTGCCGCTGTATATTTCGAGTCTGCGTGTCTCTCTCCCCGTGGCCGTGTCGATTTGTTTCTCGGGGTCCTCCGGTTTTTCTCTCCACACTTAGAAGCGACATCACGTTGGGAGTATTTGGTTGCTATAAATGCCCACATGCTGAGCCACTTCTTTGAGCTATCATTTGCGGCCAGGTCACTTCTGAATAAGAGAGCTCTATAGCTCCGTGAGCCTTACCTGGTCAAATACCAACAAACTTTATGTTGTTTGAGTTTAGTTTCAGGTATTTCGACGTACTCAGGGAAGTCAAACTTCCATGTGGGAAACTCGCTAGGCTGCTCCCAGCCAAAAATACAGCAAAAGGTGCATACCCTGCAATTGCTTTCCCACGCATCTGCTGGCAGAAGGGCTCTCAGTAGAGGGAGCTCTGGAGGGCATTTTTGGCCTACTCTTCCACACTGCTGCTGATAATCTTGCTGCTGCTGCTGCGTACGCCTTCATTCAGGGCAAATGTGCTGCCCTACGTCTTCCGAAGAGGTGGGAGTACCCATGCATCACCCCACCAACACGTGACCTGCCAATAGACCAACTGGGAGTGTACCCATTCATACCCCCCCGCCCCCCCCGCCATACCACAGTTTGGTTTGAATGAGCCCTGGTGCAAGGCATGAAATGGGGTCAACCCCTTCCCCATTCCCCACCCTCTGGGCCAAAAGTTGACCGAACGTTGAGCCAACGTCGAGGCAACGTTGGTCCGACGATTCCGGCCACACGCCAACGTTTTTGTTTATAAACGTCGGCGTGACTACTGGGGTGTCTCCTCTAGCAGAGCGTGACACGTGACACGTGCTGGCACCTACTTCATGGGCTTGAAGAGCGCCTGGCCGTAGTTCTTGAAGGTCATGATGAGCTTGAGCTGCGTGCCGCCCGACTTCATCACTGAATCGGGAAGTGCGGGGCAGGGGGGGGGGGGTGGATGTGGGGGGTAGAGGAAGAGGGGGGAGGGGTGGTGAAGGGGTCGGGGATGGGTGGCACACGGAACGGAAGGCAGTGGGGTCACGCCGTGTGCGTACGGACCGACCGGATGGAGCAGCGGTTCAAGTGTCAACGGTGCAGGCGCGTGCGCTGTTGTTCATCGGCAGGCGGCGGTGGTGGTGGCCGGGGGTGGTGGTGGCCGGCGGGGAGCACGGGTGGGTGGGTGGGGCCTCTGTCAGTCATCTTAGTCAGTGAACCCACGGCACCTGCGTCTACCCCGTGAGCTCCGTCCCGTGACCTCCTGCCAGCAGCGAGTCTTCGGCAACTTCGCGCGACGGCTTCGAGGGGCACCTAGCTTGGTACGAGCGCCATGGTGACCTCACCATGTACCAGTGCCCAAACCAGGCTTATTTTAATATTTAATTTAATGCATCATGAGCACCAACTGAACGCCGCGAGGAAAATGTTTGCAATAATTTTTTTAAAAATAATAATAATCAGGATTTAAATCTAAAATGATGTGGGAGTCTCTAAGCCAGATCTACACGTGTGTTGTAGTGGGTGCGTGGGAGTGGGTGTTTAGCAGTGGGTGTGTATTAGTAGCTGTGTAGTAGTGGGTGTATAGTCGTGGAGCGGTATTGTAGCGATTAACGCGCTGCGCTATGAACCTGGTGACCCGGGTTCAATTCCCGCTCACGACCAACAACACCAGTGACGATTATCTGAACCGGTCCTGGGCCTCCCCTAGGTCGACTCAGCCTCAAATTAGTACCTGGTGCGGCGTGTAAACATCGCCACCGGGGAGACAAAGGCGGCTGGGCGTGATGCTGGCCACCCACCCCCTCGGGTGCTGTGCTGGCCTTCATTAGGCGCTCGCTAACAGCACTTGCCCCAACAGTCTGTCACAGGCTATACGGGGGATCTTTGTCTTTGTGTCTAGTCGTGAACGGCCGGGACATCGATGTATCTGCGCCCGTGCGCTGTGAGTGACGTTCACTCCCCCCGTGGTTTCGTTCCCGGGCAGCGATGTCCGTCCCCGCTGTCTCCACTCGGGGGCAGTGCAGCACAGAGCGTGTCACCATGGGCTTGTTTACCCGGGGAGAGTGCCTACCACTATTATTAAGACTACATTTTTGTTGTTTTGTTTTAACCAGGTAAGGCCCAACTTGAGCTGTGTACAGCTCTTTTGCAGGAGCCACCTGGCGACAAATGATGAGCTCAACGAAGTGGCTCTTTTTTTTAGTGTGGAAATGTATAGCAGCCAAATACTCGAACCGCATGTTTCTGAATGTGGAGGGAAAAGCCGGAAGATCCGGAGAAAAATCCACGCGACCACGGGGAGAGAGAGAGAGACATACAAACTCCAAATATACAGCAGGTGTCAGGGTCGGGATCGAACCCACGACCTCCTGTATATCGGGCGAGGTAGTTAACATCTCCTAGCCACCGTGGCGTTGAGTCTCAAGACTTGTTTGTTTTATTCAGGAGGGTCCTGCCAGGTTTTCGCAGTAATGGGGCAATGTTGCTACTGCATATGTGCGAGTGATGCCAGTTACAGTGGCTAGGAGATGTTAACTACCTCGCCTGGTAATGCAGGAGGTCGTGGGTTCGATCCCGACCTTGACGCCTGCTGTATATTTGGAGTTTGCGTCTCTCTCATCATCACACGATGGCTAGGAGATGTTAACTACCTCGCTTGGTATACAGGAGATCGTGAATTCGATCCAGACCCTGACGATGCCGGCTGTATATTTTGAGTTTGTGTGCCTCTCTCTCTCATCATCACGGTGGCTAGGAGATGTTAACTACCTCGCTCGGTATACAGGAGGTCGTGGGTGCTGTATATTTGGAGTTTGCGTGTCTCTCTCTCCTCGTGGTAGCATACATTTGTCGATGGGTCCTCCGGTTTTTTGCCTCCACATTTAGAAACGTGCGTTCAGAGTATTTGGTTGCTAAAAAAAAATCCACATAAGCCACTTCTTTTAGCTATCATTTGTGGCCAGGTCGCTTGTGAAAAAAAGAAGCTAATAGCTCAGTGGGCCTTACCTGGTAACATACAAAAAAAACGTTTCTATTGTTTGAGTTTAGTTTCAGGTATATCGACGTACTCAGGTTCGTCAAACTTCCACGTGGGAAACTCGCTAGGCTGTTCCCAGCCAAAGATACAGCTAAAGGTGCATACCCTGCAATTGCTTTCTCACAGCTGCTGGCAGAAAGGCTTCCAGTAGAGGGAGCTCTGGAGGGCATTTTTGGCCTACTCTTCCACACTGCTGCTGATGCCCTTGCTGCTGCTGCTGCTTACACCTTTATTCAAGCTGTGTGAGGAACCCAGGCGGGAAACCCCACGGAGAACACGAGGGAGAACATACAACCTCCACAGACAGAGAGAGAGAGAGCGAGAGGCGCCCGAGTTGGGAATTGAACCTAGGCTCCCCTTTCTAACCGGCACGCCACGATGCAGCGGTCTCCTCGCCACAGCGGCGTGCTGCGTCGAGCGGTGGTCACACAGCCGGTTCTGTCTCCCGTGGTCGACGCCTTTAAACTCAATCATCCACCGGTCTGTTTTCATCCCGAACATTGTTTAATGTAATTATTGGGGGGCGGCCGGGGGGGAGCGCAGAACCTGGCCGAGGATTTAAATCGAATTGGGCATCGTCACCCCTCCACCCCTCCCCCCTCTCGCTTCCCCGACCCGTGGGGACCCTGGTGCAGTTGCACCCCCTACACACTCGATAGCTACCCCCACTGGAATATATACAGTCTATATATATACTGCATTACATCTGCGCTGCTGTTCTAACTGCTGCCACGTCTCGTCAGGATTCCCCGGTGCAGTTCCACCGCCTACACACTCGTTAGCTACTCCACTGGAATATATACAGTCTATGTATACAGTCTATATATACAGTCTATATATATACTGCATTGCATCTGCGCTACAGTTCTCATTGCTGCCAGATCTCGTCATCATCGTCATTATAATCAGCAGCCATGGTCACTCCACTGCTGGATGAAGGGCCTGCCCCAACCCGCCGGCCCGACACTCCTCGCGGTCCTACCACGTTGTAACCCATCCACCCGGACACCCGAGCCGCGAGCCGATTTCACCGCCCCGTCACCCCGGTGGGGACGCCCTGACCACGAAACCATCGAAGGTGTAAAATGGCACTGACGTGACCACGGAGACTTAATCGCCATTCGCTTGACCACTGCCACAAGCGTCATAACATTGAAGGCGATCTCCTGCTCCAACACGGATTGCGGCACCGGTGGTGGGAATTCCACATTCCTATGGCAGGGAAAGGGTCTACCCATTAGGAACAAACCGCCGTTGACTTCCACACAAAGTTGGGGCTCATGTGATCGGCTCCCCCAACCAGGGAGTTGAACTCGCACTCCGAGTTAAACTGAACCGCCACCACCACCACCACCAACAACAGCAGCAGCAGCAGCAACGTTAGTGTAAAGCATAGCAACGCGTGCGGTGTGGCGCGGGTGTAACGTGACACGGTGTGATGTGTGGTACGGTGTGGCGTGATCGCAAGGACGTGGTGTGACTGACCAGAGCAGTAGGGTGGTTTGGAGTCGGTTGATGTGATGTGGCACGGCGTGATGTGGCAATTTTGGCGTGGCGTGGCATGGTGTGGCGTGGCATGGTGTGCCGTGGCATGGTGTGGCCTGGTGTGATGCTGCGTGACGTGGTGTGGCATGGTGTGATGTGGCACGGTTTGATGTGGCATTGTGTGATGTGGCATGGTGTGATGTGGTATGGTGTGGTGTGGCATGGTGTGATGTGGCATATGCCGTGGTGTGGTGTGACACGGCATGGCGTGGTCTGGTGTGGCATGGCGTGGTGTGGCATAACATGGCGTGGCATGACATGGTGTGGTGGGGCATAGTGTGACACGATATTGCGTGGTGTGGCATGGTGTGGCGCGGTGTGACACGGCATGGCGTGGTGTGGCACGGCATGGCGTGGTGTGGCGATGCGTGGCATGACATGGTGTGGCGTGTGTCGTCATGGTGTGAGTGTCATGTTGACGTGGCGTGGTGTGTGCGGAATTTAGGAGAGGAAAATGCCCGCGTACCCACACTTACGATCTTCTGGCTCAGCAGGTCGCCCAGGAGGGCGTCCACCACTGGCGCCCGGCGCCCGTACATGGCGCGCCGCGTGATCCCCACGTGGAACCTCAGCCAGTTGGGGTACGTGTCGTACGGACTGCGGCTCGCCGCGGCCTGCGGGCCGGGGATTGGCTCGGCCGCCGGGTCACTCGTCCTGCGGGGGAGGGGAGGAACCTCCATCATCATCATTGCCATCATCATCATCATCAGAGTCGTTCGTGTTATAAGCTCTGAGCGGCTTCCGCCGGCGTCCACAGCTCCCATCACGGGCGCCGTCGTCACCACGCAACTTCACAGCCGGGCGGTGCCGGCGGCGGTGGCTACGCCGCTTCGCGTGGCCTCCTTGCAATCATCGAGCGCTGTTGTGGAGGCAGCAGCGAGAGGGTCCGGGGGGGATCACCGCACTCCACACTTCTTCTCATTCTTTCGTACGGCTGCTGATGTAGATGCAGAGCAACAACTGCAATTTTACATTCAGGTTGTCAAGAGGGTTGCGCCCCCCCCCCCTCTCTTGCACGGGGTGGGGGGCGCTCCGGTTTCCTCCCACGCGGTATATACGCTCAGAAATGATGAGCCGAATTTTTTTTTGTTTTAAACCCCAAACGTGACAAGGACCCTCGTCAATAATTTCATCATTACGACTCAGTGTGGCTCTCCTGGATTTTTTAGAAAATAAAGTTTAAAAAAAAAAATATCACTCATCACCGAAACTCCTCCACGACCAAAGACAGAGATCCCCCGTATGGCGTTCACAGATTTGTTGGGGCGAGCGCCGTTAGGAAGTAAACGCCCACGAAGGCCGGCACGGTACACGAGGGAGTGGGTGGCCAGCACCACGACCTGCGACCTCCACCACGCGCGGCCATCATCGCTATCGTCGCACCCTTCATACCAAAAACACGCTCCCACCGCCACCCACTTTTGACCGTTGTTTGAAAAGGGGCACCCCCCAGTGGCAGCTGTCCCTGCGTGGCGGCACAAGGGCGACCCCGGCACCTGGCCTGCGAAACGCCTCGCCGCCCCAACTCAGCTCCATCTCAGAGGCCAAATCAAGCTTGAACCTGGATAGTAAACGCACGGGGTTTGTTTGCTCCGTTTTCATGTTTGCTTCGTCGACTTTGTTTTTATATTTCGTTGCCGTTTGGAATGTTGATGTCGCCCAGGCGAATCTTGCAAGACGAGGCTCCATCCCGGTCAGGCCGAATCAACAGGAGTATCTTTGTGCGTGCGCGCGCGTGTGTGTGTATGTATATACGTGTGGTGTGTGTATATACGTGTGGTGTGTGTATATACGTGTGGTGTGTGCGTGTGTTGTGTGTGTATGTATGTGTGGTGTGTGTCTATACGTGTGGTGTGTGCGTGTGTTGTGTGCGTATATACGTGTGGTGTGTGTCTATACGTGTGGTGTGTGCGTGTGTTGTGTGCGTATATACGTGTGGTGTGTGTCTATACGTGTTGTGTGTGTATATATGTGTGGTGTGTGTCTATACGTGTGGTGTGTGCGTGTGTTGTGTGTGTATATACGTGTGGTGTGTGTCTATACGTGTGGTGTGTGCGTGTGTTGTGTGCGTATATATGTGTGGTGTGTGTCTATACGTGTGGTGTGTGCGTGTGTTGTGTGTGTATATACGTGTGGTGTGTGTCTATACGTGTGGTGTGTGCGTGTGTTGTGTGTATATACGTGTGGTGTGTGTCTATACGTGTGGTGTGTGCGTGTGTTGTGTGCGTGTTTTCTTTTCAATTAGCAAAGCCCAGTCAGTACCTTGGAGAGCGGCTTCTGTTCCCACCGCTTGCGCTCGGCTGGATCGCGCCAGCCGGTTGTGAACGCGTCAGCCAGTGGCAAATGCTCTTATTATTTCAGCCGGTGCCGCCCGGGACTGATCTCCGGAAAACATGTGTATATGTGCCCGGGGAAAAGGGGGGGGAACGGTAGGCGCTGGCTGTAATGACTATTACGTTTCTAATCGTGTTGTCATCAGTGATAGTGTTTCTCACGCTGCTGGTTGCTAAGTACCTAATCCTAACTTCGAAGACAAAGCCCCCCCCCCCCCCCCCCCCCCCCGTATCGCTAGCTTTTAAGGCTGTCTGGAGCAAGCACTGTTCGCTAACACCTACGAAGGCCGACACGGCACACGTGGTGGGGTGACCCTGCAGCACCACGCCTTGGCCGGCCGCCTTTATCTCCCCCGTGCTGATGGGGTTTATTTTTTTTATTTTTGTCCACACCGTACCAGGTACTCATTTAAGGCCGAGTCGACCTCGAGGAAGGCCCGGGAATGGTTCAGATATTCCTCACCGACGTTGTACTGCGAGCTGCGGAATCGAAGCTGCGTCGCCGGATTTGCAGAGCCGGTGAAGCTAACCACTGCGCCACCGCTCCCCACAATTGCATTGTACAGTACGCGTGTAAGCTCACACGTTGCTCTGGGACACGCATAGCACACTGTACATGCATACATGCATAACATTGCAAGACAATGCAGTGGGGTGCATCCTTTTCGTTTAACAAAGACAAAGATCCCCCATATAGCCTGTAACAAACTGTTGTGGCAAGTGCTGCTAGCGAGCACCTATGAAGGCCAGAACGGAACACGACGGGGTGGGTGGCCAGCACCACGCCCGGCCACCTTTGTCTCTCCAGTGACGATGTTTACACACCGCACCAGGTACTCATTTGAGGCCGAGTCGACCTAGGGGGGGCCCAGGATCGGTTCAGATAATCTGTCACCGGTGTTGGCCATGAGCGGGAGTCGAACTCGGATTGCCGGGCTCGTAGCGCAGCGCGCTAACCACTGCACTCTCGCTCCTCACATATATTTGAATATATACACACACACACACGTGTAGATACAGTTTTCCTTAAACAAATTTGCAGTGTGACGTTATAGGATTATGATTGTGGGCTATGTTGGCGCTGATGACAATTCCAGTGGCTGGCGATGTTTGCGGTGGTGGTAAGTGATGACGATGACAATTCTATTTGTAGTGGATTGTGATGGTGTAATGATGGCATTTCGGCGATTTGCCTCCTGCTGATGACGGTTGCAATAGCAGCAGCTGCTGCTGCTGATGATGGTGGTGGTGCAATGATGGTCATGACGATGATGTTGGTGGCGGCGGTGGTGGTGATGATGATTACGATAATTGTATAATGATGGCGATTGCGCCAGGCGGATGACGAGGGCGGTATCTTTAACGAGCTGATAATCATATTAGTACCGTCGTGATGGTGTTCACAGTTGATGTGGGGGGAGGGAGAGGGGGGGAGGTGACAGTGGCTGTCATCGCCATACATCATCCACACTCACCACCCATCGCTGTCCAGGCGTTTACTCTTGGGATTAAATTTGGCTCCTGGTTCCACGATGAAGAGAAGGTCCTCCTTGGCTGGCGTCGCAACGGTCACCGTGTAGAGAGGGTGAGCGAAGAGCGCGTCTAGAGTCGACCACGCCGAGTCCTCCACCATCACCACCTCCGCATCATCATCACCGCCACCGCCACCATCCCTCGACCTCTTGACCCCTTTGATGCCGCCTGCCGGAACGCCATCATCGCCCGCAGTCCTCTTCCGGCCACGAGATGACCCGTCGCCCCCGTCGTTAGCCGCCGGCGTACCCTGCCGCAGCAGCTGTTGTTGTTGTTGATGATGGTGTTGGTGGTGGTAGCTGCTGTTCGATGACCCACCACCACCACCACCGACCACGCCGCTGCTGACGTCCTGCAGAATTCTCAAAGCCGCCTTGCCTCCGTCGTTGGCGGCGTTGTGCCGGGAGCCCGGGGAGCGCCGTGCCACGCCGCCCGCCGCGCCGCAACCGCAGTCGTCCGCTCGCAGCACGCGCCTCTCCAGCTCGGGCAGGAGGTCCAGCACGATGTGCAGGCAGCAGGCGAGCACCAGCACGGCCACGAGCAGCAACTTGAACTTGCGTTTCATCATGCTGGCTGTCGTCGTTGGTGCTACTGCCGGTGCTAACGATGATGGTGATGATGATGGTGGTGGCTCTTACCCCCTTCCTTTCGCCGTGTGATCTGGCCAGCTATCTTAGCCAGCAGCTCTCTGTCTATAGCCAGCTATCTACCGAGGCTATAGTCGCGTCAAAGCGACTGCCGTGATATCCCTTGCCCCACCCCCGTTCTCCTATTCCGCGACAGCTGTAGCAGCCGATATGATTTGATGACTTATCTCTCTGGCCTCTCGCCCGAAACGTCGCCGATGATATATATATTTACCCGCCCCACCCTCCTCCTTTTAAGAGGTAGTGCTACAGACAGACGCGTTGTGTTTGATTTCGTGTCGTTTGCGATTGAACACCGCGAGCAACGATAGGAGTCGCGTATCCAAACAATTATATTTAATTATACAATAATAATAGTCGTCGGAGAAGATTGGAAATGTTCCCGTATTCGTAGTTGGTACGGGGGAAAAAAAAAAAACCTCACGTGAGTACCGAATGCTACGGAACAGTGATGAACAATAGGTTATAACAATACTGACGACCGTGCAGTATTATTGTCGTGTGAAGGCAGTTCCTTCCCTATACTAACTAATGTATTAATAATAATAATTGTTACCGTACAAACGGCGACAATGAAGAGGCATTGTTCGAGACGGGCTCACTATTGTTACAAATCGTTACAAGCGTAGCGGCAATGTGAACGATCAACAATCGTCCAATAATACGCATAAAAGCGGCGATGTTTTTTTTAGACGGCAGAACGAAAGCGAATCCGCCGCCTGTGTCGCCGAATGACATCGGCACGAAGAGGCGACCACCGCTCGCTGCCTCGGATGCTGATTGTGAAAGCCCCTGCCGCTGCTGCTGATGATAATGATACCAATAATTATATTCTATATTCTCTCTCACTCTCATCGGATCTCTGGCTGCTTCTATACATCCCCGAAACCCATACCACGCTCTCCCACCCCGCTCATCATACCTCCTCCCTTCGTTCCTCCCTTCCTCCTCCTCCTCCTCCCTGCGTCGTCCCACCGAGCTAACCAGCCAAGCGGCGGCCAGCCAACACCGCTCGCTTCGCGTTGTCCGTCCGCGCGTCGGCGACCTTAGTCAATTCTCATCGCGTCTCCCTCCTTCCGTCTCCGGCAGCTGCGCTGGTCGCTGTACTCGTGATGGCAAATGCTGCTGCTGCTGATGTTGCTGCTCCTCTTATACCGGAGGTCTTCCATCGAGCGACGATGAACCGTGGGCTCCTGATTAAAACGTTACCCACTAACACCACCCCCCCCCCAACCCAACCCTTGGCTCGGAAGCGGTGACCCGCTTCTGAATCGCAGAGACGCGCGCGCGTGTGTATGTATGTGTGTGAGAGAGGGAGAGAGCATGCGTGTGTGTGTGTGTGCGCGCGCGTGTGTCGGAGCTGGCAGTGATGCGCGGTGTGGATGGGGAGGCGGGAGAGAGTTAGGTGGGGGAGAGGAGGAGGAGAGAGCTGATGGAATGGATGCACACGGTGCATGCGCTCTGAAGGGGGCGATAGATTCGTGTGCTGCTGCTGCTGCCGCCGCCGCTGTTGGTTCTGAATGATGATGATTGATGATGATGTAATTACAATGGTGATTGATGGTGTCATTACAATGGTGACGGCGGTGTCATCACAATAATGATGTGGTGGTGTCATTACAATGCTGGTGTCGTTACAACAGTTACAATGGTGACGGTGGTGTCATTACAACGATGGTGTCCTTACAACATTTACAATAATGATGGTGGTGGTGTCATTAGAATGATGGTGTCGTTACAACAGTGACAACAGAGTAGGTTTTACCATTTTAACTGGCACAAAAACTGACACCTTTATTCAAGGCATCATGTTTGCAATAACCACAACACAAGCAGTCAAAATGTCAGTTTTTGTGCCAGTTAAAAGGGTAAAACCTATTCTTATATCTTGTTTCTGGCAAAGGAGGTCTCATAAAGTGACAACAGAGCTACAAGAGAGTGATGATGATGCTGGTGGTGATGAATATCATGCCGATGATGCTTGAAATGCTGGCGATGATGATGATTATTCAACAATAGCGGTGTTGTTACGACTGTAGGCGATGATGCTGGTTACGATAATGATCACGAAGATGCCATTGCAATCACGGTGTTGAAACAAGAATAGATGACGATTGGGACGTCGATCTTACTGCAATCGGCTGTCCGACAAACACCGTCCCATCAGCTGTGTGTGTGTGAGACGAATTCCGCTACAAACCCGGCAAAAACCGAGTTCGATTCCCGCCCACGCTACAAACCAACGCAGGTGACGAGCATCTGAATCCGATCCTGGACCTCCCCTAGGTTGACTCAGCCTTAAAACAATTCTTTGTTTTAGTGTTGCACGAATCAAACATCAGCACTGGGGAGACAAAGGCGGCCAGGCGTGATTACGGCAACCCTCACCATACTTCCGCCCCCTACCTCGTGCGCCGTGCAGGCCCTCACCGGTGTCACTCACTCGCAGCACTTGCCCCAACAGCCTGTGCAAGGCTACCCGGGGGGCATTTTTGTCTTGTATTACCAAGACACACAACACGCACACAATACACACAACACACACACAATACACGTGTGTGTGTATTGTGTGTGTGTCTTGTATTACCAAGACAAACACACACACACAACACACGCGTGTATTGTGTGTGTGTGTCTTGTATTACCAAAACAAACACAACACACACACAATACACACAACACACACACACATTACACACAACACACACAACACACACGTGTATTGTGTGTGTTGTGTGTGTGTCTTGTATTACCAACACACACACACAATACACACACACGTGTATTGTGTGTGGTGTGTGTGTGTCTTGTATTACCAAGACACACACACACAACACACACACGTGTATTGTGTGTATTGTGTGTGTCTTGTATTACCAAAACACACACACAACACACACACACATGTATTGTGTGTGTCTTGTATTACCAAAACACACACACAACACACACACGTGTATTGTGTTGTGTGTGTGTCTTGTATTACCAAGACACACACACAACACACACACACACGTGTATTGTGTGTGGTGTGTGTGTGTCTTGTATTACCAAGACACACACAACACACACGTGTATTGTGTTGTGTGTGTGTGTCTTGTATTACCAAGACACACACACACAACACACACACGTGTATTGTGTGTCTTGTATTACCAAGACACACACACACACAACACACACACGTGTATTGTGTGTGTTGTGTGTGTGTGCCACGTTGCAGCTATGGGCCAAGAATAACTCGCCCCTCCCCCCCTCGTCTGATGACGATGTTACGCCGCCGATTGTTGGTGCTGCGTCAGCGGTGGTGCACAACAACGAACACCGTGGCCTTGACGTTTCGGGCAATGGGCCTGTCAGAGAGACAGATTGAGGCGGGGGGAGGGCAGTCCCATTCACGAATGAGTAATATCATGACAATAATTTACATTTCGAGAACGCCTTTCTGTAGAACACAGCACGTCAATGGAAAACGCCATAACAACAAAAACAATAGCTGCGTCTTAAGTCGTGAATTCAATTAAGCAATGGGGTGGGGGGCAGGGGGGAGGTTGGAGAGGGGAGTCAGCAGAGTGAACGTCCAGTGGACGTAAATTATACATCCTGGGGGGAGGGGGGTGGGCAATGAGTCAATGCCTCGGCGGTCACCCATCGTCATCATGATCATTGTCATCATCATCATCGTCGTCATCATCGTCATCGTCGTCATCATCATAATCATTGTCATCATCAACCTCATCATCATCGTCGTCATCATCGTTATCATCGTCGTCATTATTATCGTCATCATCGTCGTCACCGTCATCATCATCGTCATAATCATCATCATCGTCATCATTGTCATCATCGTCGTCGCCGTCGTCATTATCGTCCTTATCATCGCCATTATCATCATCGATGTAGTCATCATCGTCGTCATTGTCATCATCATCTTCATCACCATCATCATCATCATCGCCATCATCATCGCCATCATCATCATCGCCATCATCATTATCATCATCGACGTCGTCATCATCGTCGTCATTGTCATCATTATCTTCATCATCATCATTATCATCATCGTCATCATCATCGTCGTCGTCGCCGTACAGACACGTGATCTGGGGCACACGCAGTGGGCCACACCCGGACGAGCCCAGTCCTCTAGCTGGGACACGCGGCACGACGCAGCAGGAGGGGGGGAGGTTCTGTACCCACGAGGGAACAGCTGTATCGTTCAGTCGGCCTTGTTAACAGGGTGGTCCAGATGTCGATGTCTTATGACCCCCCCCCCCCAAATTAATTGACACTGAAAATTACAAAAAATGTGGTTACATTACATTACACACCCATTGGGTATACAAGAACTATTAAGTTGTAGTGAATTAAAACTATTAAACTAAACTATTTTATTTACCAGGTAAGGCACGACTGAGCTGTTATAGCTCTTTTTCAGAAGCGACTTGATCGCAAATGATAGCTCAACGAAGTGGTTCATCATCATCATTATGTGAACATTTATAGCAGCCAGCCACTCTGAACGCGTGATGTTGATTCTGAATGTGGAGGGAAAAACCGGAGGACCCGGAGAAAAATTCCACGCGAGCACGGGGAGATGGAGAGAGACACCGCAAACTCCAAATGTACAGCAGCAGGGTCGGGCTCGAAGCCACGACCTCCTGCATACCAGGCGAGGTAGTTAACATCTCCTAGCCACCGCGGTGACGTCACCACAGCGATTGCCCCATGCTAGGTTGCGCCTCGAGACCATCACGTGAAGCGTGGAAAGCTCTCTGCTGGCAGGAGGTCTTGTGGAGTTTGACTGACTGAGACTGGCAGATCCCCCTAGCCACCGCGGCGCCCTATATGGGGGGGGGGGGTCCCAAGATATCTGGACCATCCTGGAGGTGAGTCAGGAGGAGAGATCTTGAACTCTGCTCGAACCCGGACCCGGTAGGCAATGGAGAGATGCCATCCTCGGGGGTCGAATCGCTGAGCAAAGAGGAGTGTGCGTGAGAATCCTCCCGGCAGCCGTATCATTCGCGTGATGTTCAACTTCTTTCGCGTACCGTACGTAGCCGCCCGTGCGATTGTAAAGAAATGAGTTTCCAATCTTAGATGATTTAAAAGTCCATAGGCCCAGTGGCTCCCTAATATCGGGAGAAGGAAGAGCGTTCCAGACGGCCGCAGAAGCGCCGCATCTGAAAGCGCACGCTGTGGTGACCACCACCTTTATTCTTTATGCGATGTTGCAGTAAAATCTTGGATTGCGAGTAACTTGGTCTGCGAGTGTTTTGCAAGACGAGCAAATTTTATAAAATAAATATTAACTTGATAAACGAGCGAGGTCTTTCAATACGAGTAGTGTACGTATACGCTTTGTCTGCCGAGCGTCACGTGATCACAACTGATATACGAATGCTTTGATATACGAGTGCTTTGGATTACAAACACGTTTCCGGAATGAATTATGCTCGCAATCCAAGGTTTTACTCTATATTCTTTAATCGATATTATATTATTTAATCGATGTTATATATTGATTTAAAGCGTTCGTGACTGCAGCGATTCATATTCTTGGTTCTTTCGGTAAGGTCACGTAGAAGGGAAACAATAAAATAATAAAAATATAAAACAATAAAATTATCACGACGTTTCGACTGCAACACAAGCAATTATCATCAGGTGCGAAAACCACAACAAGAAAATAAAAAAACCGCCACTTTTTTCAAATTTTCTCGCTGTGGGTTTCACACCTGATGATGATTGCTTGTGTTGTAGTCGAAACGTCGTGAGAATTTTATTGTTTTATATTTTTATTATTGTATTGTTTCCCTTCTACGTGACTTTACCGATAGAACCAAGAATACGATGTTATATTCTTTAATCGATGTTATATTCGCTGAAGATCAACGGAAGGGAATATCGACGGTTGTGATTGTATCGGCTGCGAGAGAGCACACCAGGATACCAACAACCCCAGAGTGAAGCTTGCAATCACCGATATAAATAAAGACCTTAATCTGTATGTCTTTTCGGGCACAGACAATCTGAAAATCCGAGATTTTTCATTGTAAGGCCCCCCCAAATCTCGATTTTAAGTGCCCCATATACATGTTTGCGTGTCATTCAGAAAGCGTTCAAAATATAACATTGGGATTTTTTTCGTACGACAGAGCGTTAGACGACAAATACATTTAAAGCGAGAATCATTGTTATTCAAGCGGATTTGGACGAAAAAAATACACATTTAATGATGTTCAAATCTGAATAATTCGAAAACGGTCAAAGATAGGAGAGCTTCCCCTCGTAGAGTATTAAGTTGATTCATTTTTGTTCTTTCTCGTGAAAAAAAACTGAATCTTTAAATTAAGCGGTTTCCGATGGGTACGTCTTTAAACGTGAGAAGTTGAATCAAGGCGTTAAACAATTTTGTGTTTTTTTCACGAATTTTTTTTTTAGTAGTTGTCAGCGTCTGATCGTAGACACAAATTGCAACAACAACAAAAATCAGATCAGGTTCATTATTATATTTATTGAAAACTTTCGCCTGGCGCAGACAGCCTGAATGAACGCGTTTGTAATCACCCCAGAAGGCGATGCCCTAGTTTCCGGATTATAAGGCGCACTCGATTTTCCGGCCGTGTTTTACAGCAAAAAGTGGGGAGTGCGTCTTCTACTCGTGCCGCACACGTGGCCAGATTTTGTTTGTACAGCGACATTGACACCGGGCACAGGTCTGGGAGTGGAGGCTTACTTACCCTAGAGCC